ATTTGTATACTGCATGTACATTTCTGAAATAACTAAGACAGTCACCTCTGATAACAGATCACTCTGAATTCTAATGTGGACTCATGCGTTTTCTGTAAAGCTGCTTTGAAATGATGTGTATTGTGAAAAGCGCTATACAAATAAATGTGAATTTAATTTAATTTAAGTGCAAGAACAAAAAAACAAAAACAAAAAAAATCCGCTTTTTTTCTAGTTGTTAGTGAGGATGCATCTTGTTGTCGCCTATTTTACCAAGTTGCTGTTGGTGGCTTCACTATTTTTAGTATCTTATTCAGAGTCTCTTTATTTGGCAGAAGGCTGCTTTTTGACAGAGGGCATTTCTCTGTGGCTCGTGTTTCCAGCTCTGCAAACTCGCTGGTTTGACAACCTCACACATAAAGGAGTCAGATTGAGCTGGTTACGGTTCCTTTTTTCTGCTCTGCACGCATAGCTGGGGGGAAAAAAGCTTCATTTTCTACAGGAACGTTGACAATTGTCAATCTGCCACTTTAAATGCTTGTCCTCTTAATGCAGGATATATTCTGATTGGCTGTCAATATTTTTGTGTTCATCAGCTGGAAAAAGTGATGAAGTGATTAACAACGATTATTGTTTCTCTGTACCATTATCGCTAAAGTTGTGGTGTGGACTTTGCTATTCTTTTATATTTAGAATGATTTTTTTCTAACTATGTCTTTATCGTTATAATTATAATCCTTGATTGTGAACGGGTTGAGGGGGAATGATTATAATATAGGCAACATAAACACTGGACCTTGTCACTATTATTATAGTTGGAGGACAGTTTATAGGATGTTTTAGCTGTTTACAATTCTTTTTGACTGAAAATTCAATAGTGCAAGTAGCTGAAAACCATTTTTGGAAAGCTCATGGGTGCACATACTTACTGTAGCTGCAGTGCAAAGGAAGGACAAACTGAGTTTTCTGCACACCTCCTGGCATAGTTTTCACAGCACAAATGTCAACTTGTTTACCAGCTGACAGAATAGTTGCTCTCATTTTTTTTAAACTACCTGAAGTGAATTTCTCAAACAAACCTGCCTGTTAAAGACTTGACATCCAAACAAGTTGCATTTTGGTGGCTTGTCTGTTAACTCCGTACTGGTAACATTGTCATACTGACTCACAAAATTTCTTAATACCCTTACAAAGCACTGTGGTACTGTGGTAGGAGAGAATTGCAAAAATATTGTTTAAAGTCGGCATCAAACGGATGTTGCGATTAGTATTTTTCCCCCCTATTGTGACGTATAATTCTGTCATGACAACTCTCGGAGTGTATTTGGTTTTGGCTAGATCTGCTACACTGCTGCTGCTGCAGAGCAAGTACAGAGACTTGCTACTGCCAATACATTCACAGACATGCTGCCGTGAACAAGTAAGACATGCTTCTGCTGCACATACTGTATAACATACATGAAATAACCCCTGTAGCAGATCTAAACAGGTGGAGCTGGGGAAGGTGGAGGGTTTCTGAAGGGCGCTGCAGACTGCTAACAGAAAACAATGCTAAGTATTTGAATGATGACCTGCAAGCTCATTGGCTGCTGATGCCACAGCAACCAATCAGCTGCGCTATGTAGGTAACGATGTGATCGCTAACAAATTGAGTTAAAGGTGCTGATTTGACTGTCTAAATAATAAAAATACCTTAATAAGTTTGCAGATATTTAGGAAACATTCTAAGTTTACATACTAATTTCTCTGAAAAACGACGCTACAGGCAGATATTTTACTTTGAAATGTGCGTTCCATGTTGGAATGTCTGTTTTTGTTTTGGTCTGTGTAATCCCGCTCACTGCCAAAGTACCGTAATAGTATTTTGACACCACTGGTTGCCAGTTGGCGGAAAACGCAGCGTATTGCATCCATGGAAGCCAGCAAACAAACTGGGTCAGAGATTGCAGATTCTACTCGACCTAAAAAGCCTCAGGATCCATCTAAAAATCTCTATGAACGGATGCATATTAAAACGCGGATAAAGCAACTCGTTAACTTAGTGTGTAAGTCTCCCGCCTTCCATTGTCAACTGCGCTCGCTCCTCCTGTTGCGTGTCCTCAATCTGGAAACCCGCATGAGCGTCAAGTCTGAGGAGGAAGGGGCGGGGGAAAGAACACTTTTCAATATTTTGAATTTGGATTGCAGTACCCATTTCAACCACCAGCTGTCAATATTACATACTGCACCTTTAAGGACCCGCCTGCCCTGCACCATCTAGAGTTTCATGACAGAACTTTATATTAAATCAGAGTGAAACGGCTTCTCGAGCTAGAAAATAATTTAGGGGGACTAGATTGGTAATTTAATCAATTAATTGGATTATTGGATCGTGATTCGCTAGAGTGGTGTAGGGATGACGTAAAATTTGTAGGCCAACCCGGAAGTTCACTCATGGTTCCCTCGAAAAAAACCCAATAGGATTTTTCCATAGGCTTTTGGATTCTCGCAAAAAAAAAAAAAGCAAAAAAAAAAGCACTGTGATCAACAAAAGTATTATGATGCTTACACATTTTGTCCACCAAGATAATTTTCACAAATTAACACAACTTTACGAATTTTGAAGCCTAAATACAATCGGCAGAAGTAAAAAGCTAAGCTATAAATGAACTACACCACAGTATCACGATTCCAACGTCAGACTCACCACCACTAAGCTTCCGACAACTCTTTCAGTTTTTATCTAAAAAACATTTCCACTGCCATTTTTGAGTTAGTGTAAGAGCGCGATTAAAAGCACAATGCTAAAAGTATTGCTCTTACCTGTTCGACTGATGATGTTTAATGTCCCTGACCCCCTCTGTAGTCCTATTTAGCCACTTGTTAGCAACCGCCTTTTTCAAGACACGTAACATAAATCATGAGTGGGGTCTTTTATGTCGTAAAATAAAAGGTAAAAGTATCTCGAGCTAGTGTTCACCACAGACCTTATTTCAAACCCATTGACTTCGGGACGATTGAACCGGAAGTGCTTAAATGCTAACTCGTTTCTGGGTTTTGGCCTCCAAAAATGCGTCAGCACTCAATTGCTGTGATGGCACTGACAGGCTGTCCCGCACTCACGACAGTAAACAAGTCGCTGCAAGAGGGAGGATAAGTTATTTTGATTAAAGATTACAAGGGCACATTAAAAAAAAAATGTGCATGGATAAATCTTTCATAATAAATACTGCAATATTCCCTAAAAACAAGAATTGTCAATTTTTGTTTCATGGTGACTAAAGATTGTGATAACTGTATGAAAACAGTGTGGATGCGCAGTTGCACTGACTTTAAACAAACTCTTTTTCAAACAGAGATGCTGCTTTTTTGATAAACAACAGCAGAACACAATGACCTCAAAATAACCCTCAGATTGTTTTTTTGTTTTTTTTTGGATGATACAATCACATCTGTACTCTACATCTGTAAATCTCAATGACATGAAATGGTGTGTAGCTGTAAAATACATGGGTCAGACAAGTGCGTGTGAGCATTCTGTTCCAGAACAGTAAACACTTTATTAATCAGACTGTAGAGGTTTATCCATAGCTACAGTATAAGAAAAAAGGCAAGCGCAAATATGCTGTTATATTTTAAAGCAGCTGAATGATGTCACACGTTGTGTGTACACAATTGATAAAGTAAAAAAAAATTGCAATTGCATTTTAAGTTTGACCACGATATGCTTTCCAGTTGTCTTTAGTGGGATAGATTTCGCAGTCGCGCTAGTGTGTGTGCACTTCTCTGTGTGGGTCTTGATGACCATACAGGGTCTTTTGATCAAACCTGTATAATTCCAGGTGCACTTTGCTTTTCTCCATGTCAAGTTAATGTTATGCTAATATTATGCTAAAATCTGATAATGTTAAATTTTCTGTTAAAGTCCCCATGAAATCAAAATTTTAGTTTTTTGGCTTTTAGTATGAATATGTTAGACTTTCTGTTACAAGCTAGTGTGCTCCAAAACAATGACAAAATTCACATTCAGAAGATATAAGATGTCAAAACTTACAGTCTCTCACTTCCGCCAACATGGATCAATGATTTTGATGACCTCACTCTAAACTTCAGCTTCTCATCAGATTTTCTGTCCAATCACATGCTTTGTAGAATCTGAAGTGTCCCGCTCCCTACATTATAAATAGACTGCGGCTAAAATAAGTCACTTGTTCACACAATTACTATTTTCTATTCTTTAATGGTGAATGGTATATAATGCACTATATAGCCTAGACTAGTGGGTGATTCAGACAGTGTAAAAAAGCTTTCCATTTGGGCGAATGAAGTTTGGTTTCACATTAGGTTCACGCGAACTCGCACACTGCTCCGGACGCTCAACGGCACATATTAGAAAACATATCGGACCCATTTTAATTCTGCAAAGAATAAAGTGATATGGAGGAGATTTATGTGGAGAAATGGCTAGAGATTAGGAGGAAACTGCAGCATTACCGAGCTCAACGGCTCTGGCTAAGCTGTGATAAACTAAACACTATTGGCTATTTAAAAAAAAAAAAAAAAGAGAGCCTGTTTCAGTGGAAATTGTCAACACACTGAATATCTAATGCTTTGCGTTATGGCCTATAATAAATAATTGTGTTTATTGTAATTTAATATGTAAATTCAATTGAGTTTGTAGCAACCACGATTAGCTAAAGTCATAAAACGTAATCTATACGTACAATGAACAATAGGCCTACTCGTTTTAATAAAATTCCATTAATTCTTTCTTTCATTCATTCATTATTTATTTATTTAAATCTAACGGACATATTCGTTAACATTTAAGCCATGGGTAGGCTATGTTTTTGTTGTTGTTGTTGTAAATGTTCTGCTATTCGCCCCATCAGTCCTCGATGCACTCCAGAGTTGTTCACTCGAGATCCGCTCGGACCGATTCGTATTCGAGTCGTTTAGTCCAGTGCGTGAGACCGGTTTAGTGAACCGGTTCAAATGATTCATCGAAAAGATCCGACTCAGAAGAACGATTCGTTCACTGATCGGACATCGCTAGCAGACGCGGTGTAAGCACAAGAAAGGGGGGGCTGATCTCAGGAGCGTGTTATCATCACACACCACAGGAATGAAGCAAACCAAACGGATGCTTAACATACAGTTATTTTGCATAACTTTGTTTTATTATCTAAACCCGCGTTTCTTTGTTTCTCACTGACTGGGTAGGGAAAGTTTCATATCTGAGGAGGAATACCTGCCAACTAACGGAACGCATCATCCGCAAACCGTCACACCTTCGCCTCAGTATTTGAGAGCGTTGAGGAGATCGCATCTGCTTTCGGACTGTATTTTCTTCTTTTGTTTCTTTTTGGGGTGAGGGTCAAGTCCCTTGAAGTACGTATATTTTTCTTTTACAAAATGAGTGTGGATCCCTAGTTCTGTGCCCCGGTTTTCAGTAGGTTTGTGCGGATCGTTTTGTGAAGTAGTTTTAGTTCCCTTAGACTGTTGTGCTGTTTCATTTGTCTCTTTCTTGGATGCTGGAATTTAAGACTGACAGTCCCGTTCTCTCCTCATGCCCATGAAAACAACTCTCGGATGGTAAGGATTCCAGAGAATGGTAAATGATCGATGGAAAATCATGAACAGTGTTTCAGAACTCGAGGATGGTCAGCAGCATAAATCGCAGGTATGTGTCACGCGCATCATGGAAAGCTATTAGACCTGTGTCGCAAATTATGAATATGATCAAATGCACGTCACATTTCGTTTTTTATATCCCCCACAAAAAAAAAAAAAAAAAAAAAAAAATCAGGGGGATATTACTCGTAGCTGAATATTTTGAAACGCATGCCACTGTAACAAATCCCAAATACATGGAAATTGTAGAAAAAACTATTTGTTTAAATAAATATCATTTGAGAAATTTCAGTAGGCTATTTGTCGTCTTGACTATTCTGTGTCTTCTAATTGTTTTGGATCAGACAGTGTTGCCTTGAAAGAGATTTAAAAAGTATGACTTTAAATAATACATGAATATATATTATTGAAGGATTTTTTGTGTGTGTGCACCTCATTTATAATTGCCTAACTGTATATATATATATATATATATATATATATTGGCCAAAATGTAAAGTACTGTTAGCCTATATATATATACAGTATATATATATATATATATATATATATTGATATCTAGAGAACCAAGTGGTCTGTATAGTGCTGACAAACAGTATGCAGTACAATTTAGTGACAACAAAATAAAATGTACAAAAGTAGATGCATTCAAAGGAGTGCTTGTTTCACACAGTATTTACTAAGAATCACTAAAAATTATTTGAAAGCAGAAAATCCATTGACAAGGCTATTGGTAAATTTTGTAACCAACTCGTGACCGCTTCTGTTAATCGCTGGTGGATGCTGATAATACCTAAATATTGACAGATTAATGGGCTTAATATAAGTTTATTGGCAGTAAAGAATAATTCCCTTTATCTCTCAAGCACTCAGAGTGATATAGTGCGAGTGTCAGATGATGCCTCTCTCCATGCCCTCTGCACACGAGGGAATACATTTGTTTCTATTATGCAGCTCACACAGAACTCCGGGATTAAGCTCAGCTCCTCCATGTATGAGCGACTGCATGTGTGCCAGAACATTTCACTCATGACTGGTGGAAGTTCATGCATTCACTGCAGAGAGAGAGCACATCACAGATCGGCATCCAGAGGGGTGTTGCATCTTTGATTTCTTTATCTCTCTCTGTCCTTTTCAAAGCTCTTGCTGTTGCCTGCATTTCACAGCAACTGTAATCTGCTGTCAGCATTTAGTGGGAAATGTGCATAACACGCTGTTTATAGCAATCCTGATTATAGAGGTTTAAGGGTGGGATCACAGTTGTAACAGCTGTTTATTACTGCTATCATCCTCACGTGGCATCCTCTAACCTTCTCTCAGCGGGGGTGTGAAGTGTGCATAATACAATGCCCTTTCAGGAATATGTCAAGCCCTGCTTTTGAAGCATCAACATCAACACGAGCCGCTTGTTTTAATGGCAGTTCTTCATTTGCCTGTCTTGTCTAACCGAGTCATTTTATCACGCTGCACAACCAAAAGTGTCGTGCCAGTTTATCAAACTGCCTGGGCTTGTTTGCTTTAGTGCTGTGCAAGTTATTTTAGGGGTTGTTAATTAATCAACGCGAATTCATCCGCCATCCATTTCTGACTGATGTTTATTAATAAAATATTCGTTTGGGAGCGGGAGTGAGAGGGGAGGGGTGGGATCTCATGGGACGAATAAAACCGTTCACCTGCTGTGCTGGAGCGTTCAGACTTTGATGGACACGATTTGTAATTTCTCATGCTGCTCTTTGTGCCTTGATTTTTCCCCCCCAGTTGAGTATAGTAGGTGAAACCCCTGCCCGTTGCGCAGCTGTAAAAGCGAGTTAAAAATGGGCTTAAGGGTCTTGTTAGACAGGCGTACAGGTAAAATAAGGATTTGCATGTTTTGCTTTTCCTTTAGCAATGTGATGTATGCTGTGTGTGTGTTACGTAAAGGCCACACAAGTCACAGTAACATTATTGTATGTTCAGATGGACTCATTAGCTCCTTGTTCCTCAAATGCTGTGGATTTCTTCACTGTCGGCCCTCCCTTGCTATGCTTTAAAGTCTACCCCTGCAGACACACACGATCACACATGCTGGAAAAAAACAGCTGCAGTGAACTCCTTTCCTGTTGTTATTTACTGGCCTTCATTTCTTTCCAAACCAAAATTATTTTCTTTCTTATTTAGAAGTTGAAATTGCTATTTTGCATGCAATGAAAGTGAATGGTCACCAAAAGGGCCATAAAAATAGCCCACACAAATTGTGCACTATAATAAAAAGGGCCATTCACACTAAGGCCGATAACTATAATGATAACTATAATTTTAATAAGAAGGTGCACTCTTAAAAGTAGAAGTTCTTTATTTTCATCTATTAACATCCATGGAGCCTTTCCATTGTACAAAGTGTTCTTTATAAGGGAAAAGGGTTCTTCAGATTATTAAAAGGCGCTTTGTTATGGTTATATTAAGAACTGTTCACTGAAAGGTTCTTTAGAGAAGCAAAAATGGTTCTTCTATGGCATCGCAAAAACAACAACAAAAAAAAACACCCCTTTTATAAACCTTTTTTTTAAAGAGTGTACGTCCACACCACAGCTATAACAATAACGACACTGAGGAACGATATCATGGGAATCACTTTCAGAATTATTTTTTTCAGCACGAAAACAACATAACTGCAGCACGCACTTACTAATAAACAATGTTATTGTCCATTATCGTTCTTGGTGTGAACTCTTCTGAAGCTCCAATCTCATTCTCGTTCACATATATGCCAAGGTTTGTCAAATATTTAGATTTTCATGTGTTTCAAATTTGAATATACACATATTCACATTACACAAATGAGGTTTGAAATGGATTAGAGAGAATGTATCTTATGTCTTCAGATGACTTATAGTGCACAGTTTGATGGACTACTGTTTTTCATAAAGATTTTATGAATTTTTATGTTTCCATCTTGTCATTTTTGGAGCTTGACAGTCCCTGGTCACCATTCACTGTCATTAAATGAGAAAGAATACTGTGAACATCCTGCCAAACCTGTCCTTTCCTTCTTGCTCTGGTTTGGAACGTCGTGGAGACGAGTAAAAAAAAATGACAGAATTTCCGTTCTTGAGTGAACTGTCTGTTTCTTTAAGCTGCTACTGTATTTTGAACCCTGCTAAAACATCCGTGAATTGTTCTTCAGACCAGGTAATTGATTTGCTTGGCAGTCTTTGGACTTAAAGGCCATTTAGCTATAAGGGGCTGGAGCCATTGACGATTTCAAAGACTGTACGAAACATTTGCCATCCTGTACAGCTTAAAAAAAATGAGCAGTGGCCATTATACAGTAACTTGCAGACTTCATTTCAGCACAGGATGATAGCGGCCACCTAAAGTTAAATAGAGTTTTATCAATTCTTTCCCTCTCAAATGTGTCAAGCTGCTTAGGTTGTAGTAGCTATTAGGATTTGCAAATTGAACAGACTTGCTGACAGCCTGGGTAGCTTTTCATCAGGATGAAGTGTAGATGTGGAGGAAACCCAGATACTTTATCTCTTGAGTTAATCTTTAGAGAATCTGGGAAGTCGTGCCCAGCAGTTGTCTGCTTTCTGTCCTGCAATCTCCCCGCGGGCACACAGCAATTCGACACGGCCAAACAAAGACAATGTGAGAGATGTTTACCAATTTTGTGCTGGACACAATGGGGATGGGAAGTCCAAACATGTGGGCTGAAATTCATTTCTTCGGGATGCTTGTCAAACACGGCGCTGCCAATTAAACATTCCTCCAAAAACCTGGAAGCCTGCTGTTCTGTAATGAAAGCTGTAACCGCTTGACTGAACATAGCCATTATGTGTGTACGGGATAAAACACTGGATACCTAGTGTGTCCCCTAGCTTAATAAGTATGCCCCAGTACAGCTGCGACAACTCTAAAGGCTTGTCACAGTAAGATAGATAACTATGATGATAACTATATTAGTGTCTACACCAACACATGACAACATTCTGTTTATTAGCATGCGCTGCTGATATTGTCATCTGGCCCTTTAAGTGCTCTAGCTCTTTAAAGCAGGATGGATTCTGATTGGCTGTCAAGGTTTTTATCGTTCATTAGCTGGAAAAGAAATTGTTGTGAAAGTGATTCCAATGATATGTGCCATTATCGTTATAGTTGTGGTCTGGACTCTGCTATTCTTTTAAATTTAGAAAGATTTTTAAAACTATATCGTTATAATTGTCCTTGGTGTGAGAACAGACCTTTAAAACTATGTCCACATTAATTAAAAAAAAGTTGAACTGTCCAAAAGTTTCTCATCCGCAATGAAATGTCAGAAAATACTTAAATCCAGGACCGTAACCACCATAGGCAGTAAGGGGACAAGTCTCCCCAATAATTGGATATGGCCAAATAGACCAAACATATGGTGACTAATGCGACCTGGACCTTCCGTGTGAATGAGAAACTTTTGGAAAATGCTTGAAAACACTATTGTGGATGGAGAGCGTTTTATTGTAGACGTGCTTGTCAATTTCACAATGATGGCCAATCAGATCAAAGAAGGCGGGGCTTAATGTTTACTGAAGAAGATGAGTGTGAGTTTCAACGCGTTTAGTTTTTACAGTGAAATAGTGCGTGTGTGGTAAGATAAACATTTCATATTTGACAACTGTTTTATTTGACCCACAGTAACATACAGTGATGCAAACTACTCAACCTTTTTAATGTAGGCTAAGTTCGCCATTTAAATAATGTAATTTATAACTGAATGTGACATATTTTTTGACATATTAGATATACAAAACAAAAAGACCCTCCCTCCACCAAAAAAATACCTTTGGTCCCCCCCCAATGTTCAAGACATGGTTACGGCCTTGCTTAAATCATGTTACTCCACATGTGTAAAACGTAATAAAAGCTCACTGAGATGAGACCGAGAGACATAATGAAGCTCTCACACCATTCTTTTGGCGCAATAATTTTATTAGCAAAATATCCCTTCTCTTACTAGTATGTCCAGCCGGCACTCAATCGCCATTCCATGTATTCCTAAAATGCAATTGCTCTCATGTTTTCACGCAGGATAGC